CAGAAGGTGTACTTTTTAATGCGGTGAAATAAAATGTTAGAATGAGATCTGTATACAAGGAGAATAGAGTAAGTAACTATTAAATCCATACTATTGGATTATAACTATTGTATGCAATCTGATTGTTGCAAATTTTTCACAAAAAAATTTTTCTACATTCATCCGTCTTGTGTCAAGCATACATCAGGATCATAAACCTAAAAATACCACGTCCTCCAATGATATTTTTTCAACATTTTTTTCCAACAATATTTTAAGAAATTTGCCTTAGAACCACACTTTTGGCACTGCTAATAACTTTATGGTGGGTAATTTTATTTTTTTTTTTGTTGCGGGTGCCGGGAAGAGAGATGGAGAATTTGATGCTGAAAAAGTTCTAGAAATGAAACTTTATGAGCATGTTAGAATCTATATTATATTGTCTTGTTCGAAGTGTATCCATAAACAAGCTAATCCCAGTAATTCCTGTTTTTAAACAATCTACATCAATTGGCCCCAAAAAAAATAAAAGTGATTTTTATACGTTTCTAGTGATTAGAAATTCTATGATGTTTTTGCACTTCATCCGTGTCATCTATCTTATTTATGCACTACAATTTAGTTTCTTGTCATTTATGCTCATAGTCTATCGACTTGCTAGTTAATTGTCGTGAAACAGAATCATAATCCAAAAGCATCTGTTTTTCCTGCTTTTGGTCTTTTAAGCTTGTTTTACTCTATGGAAGCTAAAAGCAAGTTTTGAAAAGCAACTGAGAACAAGGGGAAAAGAGAGAGAGAGAGAGAGAGTAGATATTTTATATTCAAAAGTTGAAAAAAGTGTACCATATCATTTGAGAACAAGTCTGACATCAATCAACAGCAGAAGAATTCACGGGGAAGTTACTATTTGTATAACAAACTAAAGCAAGAGATTTTTTTTTATTGTGGGGATACAAAACAAGCTATTTGGTAATGTAAGTTAAATTAAACTGTATAGATTATGATACTCTGTTTTCCCACTAAAAAATTCTTTAACAAGTTACAGAGATTAAATCGTTTAGGGATACTACATTCACTTGATCTTTTTTCAAACCAACACTTGCAGGTACATATATAACAATTCTCAAGCTTTCATGCTGTTGTATGGTTAAAGTACGTTACTAGCAGCTTACACGAGTTGACCACAACTTTTTTCTAATGACTTTCAGATATGAAAAGTATTAGACACATCATATGCATCACGTTTAATACCATAATAGCATTTATCCATCACCAATGGTGATAGGGTCGTCGTAAAGTACGTGCCACACAAGAAATGGCCCACCATCATCAAGTAATAATAAGAAACTATTAGATAGTCATCGCAAGTCCCGTAATACTGCTGCTACGTTGTGCATCAATATCAACCACATTCCCCCAAATAAGTAAAGTGAAAATCCATCAAACAAGCATATTCCACCTTACTTTTTTAGTAAAATGTGATTGGTATTAATACACCATGTGGCAATGCTACGTGCAAGTATGTTGATCATGTAATACCTCATCTTTGGTAAACAGGGAATTGCCTACCACCATTAAACCATTAATTGATGATGAGTGATTGGCAGTAGTACACCATACAAAATATTTCACATAGTGGACATAACTCACTATGTTATTGGCAAAATGTCTCACAAACATAATCCACTTTACTTATTTAGTAAAATGTGACTAATAGTAATGCACCATGTGGCAATAGTATGTGGAAGTACGTCGATCATGTAATGCCTTCTCTTTGGTAAACAAGGAATTGCCTACCACCATTAATTAATGATGAGTGATTGACACTATTACACCATGCAAAATGTCTCACGTAATAGACATAACCTTCACTCAAGACGAAAACATGATCTTAAATTTTTGAACATCCACTAATGAAATAATTGCCCATAATTAGCTCTCAAAAACCTAAAGCACAAATAGAAAATGTCTCAAGTCTGCTTCCCCTTTAGTTTTAGGTTTCCGCATATTGTCATATTGGCCAACAATATTTTATGGCAGCACCATTAACAACGATTGAACCGAATAACCTATTTATACAAACTCTAAAAGCTCTTTTTTATTTTTCTCCCTTGAGGAATTGAAAGTTTTTATTTAACATTTGAATTTCATGTGGATGCTTTAATTTTAAGAATTTCTCAATTGGACAATAATGTTTAACCCATCTTCCAGAAATCAATTTTTCTTTTAAACCTTTTGCACTCTACCCTAAAAAATTTATCCTAGTCTTTCAAATTCAATATTTTTATTTCTCAATCAATGATTGCATCAAAATCTGGTTAAACTTGTGATTTAAGACAACTCTAATAGTCAAGAGGAAAGAGGATGCTAGCATCTAGTACCCAAACATCCAGTCATCATATCCAATTGATATACCCGGAAAAGTTACAAGCTAACAAGTATAGACAGCAAACTATTTAACAATTATATCAATGAAAATGTAACAACGAACATAGAGAATAATAAACTTATAATGCATATATAAAAAGGTAATTAACACGCACAACTCTAAAATATCAAATGTCAGATTATGTTTCATGTTGGAGATGTTTAAAATTTTGAAAAATAATATTTTGCATGCATCAATTTGCCTCAATGAACAGAAAAGGGACTAAATTACTTTTAACTCATACATTGCCCAATTTTTATCTTTCCATTGACTTTCAATAGTTTCATTTCACCAAAATAAACTTATAACTCTTCCAAATTAGTTCACTCAATTTGATTGTTAATAGCACACACAATGACACATATAGTGAAGGGTAAAACTATCTATAAAATAGCACAAATTTGATGAAGGGTAAAATTACCTAGTAAATAGCACAAATTTGATCTCTCTTGTTACTAATTCAATAAAAAAACACCGCTCCCCTGGTATTTAAAGGAAAATTTTCCAAAAAAATAAAAATAAAAATTCCAAGACCCTGTGGCAATTAAGCTATAGAGCTCACAATCCCTCCACCTAGATAGTAGAGTATTACATTGCTTCTTTTGCAAAGAATAAATGTGAACAAATTCAACTAATTGCAAACAACTAAAATTTGATGGTGGAAGATTAGTACAGATAAGAGATCAAGTAGGTCAATCCGTTCTACAAAGTAAAAAACGAATAGACTATACTAAGGTGCAAGTAAAAAATTAAATTTCAGGAGTTGTAGGGGCATGAAATTTAAAATAGTTCACATATTCTATTACCACAACTGGAACCTATTTTTTGGTGCTAAGTTTAATTTTTCTTTAGCAGGAAAGGGTGGAATTTAAGAAGCGAGAAGGAAAAAATGGAGGACCTCTAATTCATGAGACCTAGACCGTCCCCTCAGCTGGTGCTAACTTGGTTATCAAGTATACATATTTCAACATATTATTCAACCCAATCAATGCTATTAAGCATTTGGAGTTGAACTGCTTTTTGTTTTCGGTTTATTTTTTGCTCTAAGTTTAGGAGGGCAAGTTAGATATTCCACTATCACAGCAAGCCAGTAACGGAATGGGAGGCTTATAATGGTTTTGTTAAAGATTGTATACTGATGAGGGACTGCCAGAAATGCAATTTGAACATAGAGTGTTGCACCAGATCTAACAACCTTACAGTTGATCCAACTATCATGGGCACCTTCTAATTATTATAATCAAACTTAATTTCCCTAAAAAAACAACAAACAATCTCAACATCACCTAAACAAAGGGTCACACCAATACTTACGGTCCGTTTGGATGGTGTGTTTTTTAGTATTTGTCTAAACTTGACTACAGAATTTGTAAAAAAACTTTATTTGATGGTTTGTCAAAAAAATTTTCTTATTTTCATTTTTTTCCCTTCTCTTCTTCTTCCTCCCCACACCCCAGCTACTCTTCCTCATCCCTCCCTCCCCACCACCAGCCACTGGTTGCGGTACCCTCACTCTCTTTCATTTTCTTCTGCATCTCTCTCTCCCTCCCTCACTCGTCCTCTATCTCTCCTCTCCTCTCCTCTCCCCCTCCTTCTCCTCCCCCCTCTCCCTCATCCCGCCCCCTCTCCCTCCTCCTACCCTGATCGTTTGACTACATCTAGATCTAGTTAAGCGACTAGAAGTCGCTAGGGAAGGGGTGGGGTGAGGGAGGGTGAAGGGGGTGGGGGAGAGAAGAGGAGAGGAGAGGAGGAGGGAGGAGGGAGGAGGGAGGAGGGAGGAGGGAGGAGGAGGAGGGGAGAGAAGAGGAGAGGAGAGGAGGAGGGAGGAGGGGAGAGAGGAGAGGAGAAGGGAGGGAGGGAAGAGGGACGAGGAGAGGGAGGGGAAGACAGAGAGTGAGAAGGAAAAAAAGGGAAAGGAGTCTGCCAGCCAATGGTCGTGAGGTGAAGTGGAGAAGGGAGGAGGAAAAAGGAAAGAAAGAAAAAATTTTGTATGTTTTTGAGTATTTTGAAGAATGGGGTGTTTTTAGAGGTTTCATTTAAAGTTGTAAACCAACTTGTCTGTTAAAAATGGGCCAAAAAACTTGGCTACCGAATAGACCCTTAATCTCATAGGTTCCAAACGCTATTTACAGTCCAAATTGAAGCCTTATCCATGACATGCAACATTGATCTCTCTCACAATTGGTCTATTAATTTTTTTCAGTTGCCAAGGTACTGCCCAAAATCATTGGGATCCCAATCCCGAGTTAACTTGATGTGCATCAAGCCAAACGTGTAATTTGACTTGACATATGTTTGACATTAGTAACAGTCTGAGCTAAAGAGAAAAGCAGCCTAAGTATTACCGATCGACCACCTCTCTCTCTGCCAGAACCAATAAAGTATAAGCTCTAAAGCTTAATTCTGAACCAGTATTTACACAGTCAACGATGGTTAAGGACAGTAGACTGGCAATCATTTCAAATATTTGGCAATATCCGCTAGAGAGTGACTGTACACCAGATGGACTCATAACTCTACAGTCAGACTGCATAGAACAACAAGCCACATAGCTTTTTACAAGTTCTCATTACAAATACAGAACATGTCTCACCTGAATGAATTCGTCAAGCTTAACTGACCATTTCAGCAGCTTCCACAATTTTAGTACCTTGCTCTTTTACCACATTAAGCATGGGACACATTCTGGTGGATACCAAGCACTACCTGTCATCAGAAAGGAAGTCTGTATTACATAAAATCCACCCAGAGAAATTAACCCAACCCTTACATCCCCAGCCAAAAAACAAGACCAAGCTATCAAAATTGTTGCTCGCAGTTCCCTCTCACTGTCCCTTTTCTACTTCTCTCTGGCTTATAAACCAACAAATCTGCTCACCTTTGACTTGAGAAATATTATCTCGTTCACATCAGCATAAAACCAAGGACAATTTCGTAAAGATAGTATCACATTAGCAGGGAGGGGGAAAAAAAAAGCATAGACGGACAAAAGAATTATTCAAAGAAAAAAAGAAAGGGGAACAAACAAGAATTTCCTAATGACCTAAAACGAATTTTCTAAATCTTTACCAACAAAAAAAGAATTCGACATTTGAAAGCCTTCAAGACTAGCCAAAGAGTTTACAAGAGGACATTTGGGATCAAGAATTATGTCCTTCCTCTCAGTGATATACATAGAAATTGATTAAAAAAAAGTAAATTATGGTTTTTCATTATAGAATAGTCATTTCACTAATCTAGAGAAGTCAAGTTGGCAGCATGTCCACAGGCCTTAAAAAGCGTGTTAGCTATCACCAAGTTACAAGACCTTCAATCTTAAACTATCTTCACTTCAGCATATGTTAGTCAGAATTCTAAAAGATTTTATAGCTAATTTTTCTTCTCGTTGGACACACCATTCTCAACTCTGACATCAAGGCCATGATATGGAACTTCAACCATAGGTCTTGGCACCATCCGTCCACCAAAGTCCTCTGGAAAAGATTCAAAATCGGGTCCAAAGTTGAACTTGACAGTGCAATTAGGTTGGTTTGGCAGCGTATACATCGAGGCAGCTGGGAAATAACGACCACCATAAAGATCCTTGAATGCGGTGCCTTGGCATACTCCATTCTTGAAGAAAGATATCTCACTTCCTGTAGGGTAGAATTACCATCTAACATGTCATCTATAGCACAAACTGGAACTGAGTGCTGTATGAATAAAACTAACAAAAAGTTCATAATAAGTAAAGAAACTAGTACAAAACTGACAAGCCTGAAGACCAACACATCAGCAGAGACACCTTAGGCAAGCAGGAAAATGGGAATACTGCTCCCTTTCAAATGAAAAAACACCAAGCAGAAGGGGGAGGGGGAGGGGGAAGAGAAAAGATTTTAATCTCAATCAAGACATTTTCCCTCAAATTCAGCATCTAAATATGTAGGTCAAAACTGTGTGGCATTCAATCAGTACATATCTTGTTTAAGAGAAACTATTAACCAGAAAAATCTAGAGAAGAAACTTTCTATTCCCAAAACCAATTAATAAGCAAAAGGAAATCATGGGATCACAAAATCCACAACTATGGATAAAATAACCAAACCCTGCAGCTTTGTTGTTAGAATTTGGAAAAGAGTGAGTTACTGGGGCTGTTTATGGTCCAGAAGTGAACATCATAGCAAGGAAAACATTTGCAGAATAACAAGATCTTGAATAAGAAAAAGAAAGCAGAAGATAAACGAATCTCTTAGAATGGTAGACAACTAAAAAGTAAATCATATAGACTCGAAAGCTCTGACTAGCTCAGCCACTGAGAGTGAGTGTTTAGGACCCTATTTTCTATGTGGGAGGTCCAAAACTTAGTACAGGGTAAATTGCAAATCGTTCTATTTACTTAATCTCTATGACAATAAGCCCCACACTGCATCAAAACCAAAGACAAGGGCCTCAAATATTGGATATTCTAAAGCCAGATCCTTCTATGGAGTACCATTATCCATCTCTTCCTATTCCACTCCCTATGCTACTGAACAGCAATTTGTAGTGTCAGGCCTGCTTGCTTTCTTTCAAGGTACTATCCTTAATGTCATTTTAACTGTTAAGACTACCAACAGAAAAATAATATGTTCACCAGGTATTTTTCCAGGAAACCAAGCAAGTCTAATTAAACTCTACAGTAACACTTTGCATACTAAGGATGTAAAGAATACAAGAAGCTTTCATTTTCCATATAAAACTCCTAGCAAGACACCTCCATTTGCATCATAGTGAGCCACACCCAACAAGGCGTACTATCTATCAACCTTCAAGGCCACAGTATGCTTAAATTCATTTTTTTAAAAGCACAATTTGGAAATATTCCCTTCAATCAATAGATTAGACGACAAAATAATACCAGAGACATCAATTGTCCAAATGCAATATAACATGGCTACATATGACTTCACTGCCCAAAACTATGGCAGAAAAGAAAAAGATTTAAAAAGATACACAACCAAGTCAAATGCCATATCTACCATCTCCCCTGAAAAATATAATAATAATGCTTCCACGAAAGGAAAATGCTAATAAATTTAACCACATTAGCCTGAGAAGCAACCAAACTAAAAGCTCTTTTATCCAAAGGAATGAGTCGTATTTAGTTTTAGAGAAGTTTAGGACTGAATATAACAACGAGAGATAGATTCAACCAGAAAACAAATGAAGGAAGAATTGCACACATAGACCACATCCATTGATAAGCAAGCCCTACTGCAAAGAATTTAACTGCAACAACAAAATATATACAAAACATCAGTTCTCACTCACCAGGCACCACTTTGGGAGGATCATCTTTTGCATCGGGAGCAGAGACATACTTCTGACCTTTGTACCATATCCATCTAGGTGGCTTGGGGGTATACAAATTCCCTTCAGGCAAATTGATATAGAAACCAATAACATCACCTTCTTTATATCCGTCCTCCCCATACTTTTCCCTCACAGCCTTGTGCACTTTGCTCCCATCAATATCCCTATAACCAAAACTGTTCCCATCATATCCAACTGGCGCCTGCAAATCCCCTTTATCCGTTGACCACCCCAGCCTCGTGTGACCGGTATCGCCTAAATGTACTACCTTAATTTCATAATACCATGCCCCTTCAACCACCCCTCTGGTCGCCCTCACCATTCTATACCCTTTAGTGCTCCCAGCACTCAATCTATCCTCGCTCAATTCCACCTTCTCAGCTTTATAAACCTTAGAAAGACATATTGCCGCATCCGGGCTATCATCATTTTTGTCCGGAAACCTGGGGATTGGGGTTATTAATACCTTATCCTCTGATTCAGCAATATTTGTAGTATTGTTTCCGTTCTGATTACCATTGTTTTTCCCCTTCTTTTTCCCTTTTCTCGAAGTCGGCCTTGTCCATACATTATTGTTCTTTTTCTTGGATTTCTTGCTGCTTTTCGAGCCAGATTTCGCCATAGCAGCTGGCGGCGTTTCTGCAGCGGCAGCTGCAGGCGTGGTAATTCCACCAAGATTCAGCTTTTCAGGGTTTTCCGGCGATGGACAGGTTAACGAAGAGAGCTGCTTCTGCTTCTTTGGCGGGGGCTCATCTTCGTAGTCTTCTTCGTCTTCAGTGTCCTCCGAGACTTTGGTGAAATTAGGAGAATTCCTTGACCCATTCCCTTCTTCTGCTTTAGGGTTTTCGTTGTCGTCGGAGATTTCGTCGGAGGAGAGGTCTTCCAATACCATTGCCGTCGGTTGCTCTTCTCTGATGCCGCCGCTTCCAATTTCGGGTTCGGCCTCGACCTCTTGTTCCACCTCGGGCTGGGGCTCAGTTTTTGGCAGCGCATCAGAAGGGGCTTCAGTGGCGCCACCGCCAGTGATGGTGTTTTAGTGGTGGTGGTGGTGGTGGTGGTGGTGGCGGTGGAGGAGGGTGGATGGGGTTGGTCGCCAATGTCACGATCGTCCTCATCGTCTTTGTAATTAGCCATAAGAGTATCCATATTTCAGAAGATACTGAGACAACAAGAGGCAACGAGGAAAGTGGAGTGGAACCAAGTGTTAGATCCGGAAGTCGTTGTTACTTGAAAACGTGCAAGTTATAGGGCTACAGTAGGATTAAAATAAGGGTTAATCACATTTTATCCCCTTAAAGAATACCCCATTTCTCAGTTTACCCCCTAACCTTTAATTTTACTCACTTAACCACCTTTAGGACAAAATTGCCCTTGCATTATTTTGACTTTTCATTTACCTTGTTATCCTTTCTTTTATTTCTTTTTCTCTTTCTTTTTTATTTAATTTTTCCTCTTTCCCACGAAAATCTTTACCTTAATGATTGAAATTAAAAAAGAGAAATTACAGAGATCTATCTTCTCCTTCAATGATTAAAAAAAATATTCAAATCACTTCCCTAAATTACAATTTTTTTTAGCCTTTCAATTCTTTTAATTTTGGATTTTCCTCTTTCCTTTCTAGTTTCTCATTTTATTCTCAAGAAAATATCATAAGATGAAATTGCTTCTCTTTCTTTTATTTATTTTTCTCTTTCTTCTCTTTTTCATCCTTCCCAATAGAAATTCCATTTCAACGAAATTTTTTATTTTGAGTTTGTAATTACATATTTTTGGGTGAAGGTTTAAAAGGCATCAAAAACTAATTTTGATTTTTTGTATGATGCAACGTGTCACAAATTTCAATTGATGATTATTAATTAGGTCACAATTTCATCTTAAGATATTTTCTGGGAATAAAATGAGAAACTAGAAATGAAAGAGGAAAACCCAAAATTAAAAGATTTGAAAGGCTAAAAAAATTGTATTTTAGAAAAGTGATTTGACTATTTTTTTTAATTATTTAAAGAGAAGATAGATCTCTGCAATTCCTCTTTTTTAATTTCAATCATTAAGGTGAAAATTTTTGTGGGAAAGAGGAAGAATTAAATAAAGAAGAAAGAGAAAAAGAAATAAAAGAAAGGAAAACAAAGTAAATGAAAAGTCAAAATAATGCAAGGGCAATTTTGTCCTAAAGGGGGTTAAGTGAGCAAAATTAAAGGTTAGGGGTAAACTGAAAAATAGGATATTCTTTAAGGGGATAAAATGTGATTAACCCTTAAAATAATTACATTTACTACCACCAAGGTTTGACCAAATTATTTAACAAACCCCGAATTCATCGATCGACGATCCTGAATTCATCAAAATACGAGTCTATTTCGATGGCGTATTTTTTTCAAACAGACTCGTCTTTTTTTGTGTTTGTATGAAATTTTATACTATGAGTTCGTTTGAATGGTGTATTTTTTGGTATTTATATAAAATTTTACTGTAATTTACTGTAAAATATGAGAAAAAACCGTTGTGAAGAATTTGAAATTTTTTTTCCTTTTCTTTTCTTTCTTTTTCTTTCTTTTTTCTTTTATCTTCCTTTCCTCTCTTCTCTTTCTTCGTTGCCACCATTGCTACTCCAACAACTAGCTGTCACTATTGGCTGTTGGCACAGTGCACTTCTTTTTTAACCTTTCTCTATCCTTCCCTCTCCTGCCTTTATTTTCACTTTCTTCTTCCTTTCTCCTTCTCTTATCTCCGTTCTCCTTCTTCCTCATCTCCCTCCTTCTCCTTCCCTCCCTTTCCAAATCCAATCAAATCTAGTCTACACCCGACAAAGAAGTGAGAAAACGGTCCCTCATGCGATGTTTGATCTATGACCAAATCCAACCAAATTTGGTCCAAATTCAACAATAGAGGGGATGGGGGTCGCAGGTGTCACGGATTGGCTAAAATCTCTAATAACACACGCTTGTGCAGCCTTCCGTTTAGTTCTCCCAGAAAACAATCTTCTTTTTTTGAGCCCGCTGTTAAGGAGCTGGAAACAAAAATTATAAAATTCAAAAGGGCATATTTTCTAGCTCTAAAAGTTTTAAAGAGAAAAACAAAATTACTTCTAAGAGTTTCAAAAGAAACAAAAAAATGGATTATCGAAAGTTTTTTATTTGTAAAAAGACTAATAAAAGAACTTTCTAAATTAAATCCAATTATATTATTTAGATTCAGAGAAGTATATGAATCGAATGAAACTAAAAACGAAAAAGATTCCATAATCAGCAATCAGATAATTCATGAATCCTTTAGTAAAATTAACTCTCCAACGCTAACAAGTTTTAAGATTTAAGTTATGAAACATTTGCTAATTCAACCTAACTCTCAAATGTGTGGTTGTGTAAAAAGAAAGAAATAAGCAAAGAAGGGAAAATGTGAGAAGTGAACAAAAGCCCTTGTACTGCACTCAAAGAATATTAATAGGTAAGTCAAGAACTCTTAGTAAAGCTCTTGAAACTTTTACACAATACCTTTCTACACTGGTCTCTACAACATTCTATACAAGTAAGATTCTTATGTACAAGGTCTAGACTATTCTCCAAAACTCTTGAATGGTGTAAAACACTCCGGAAGCCTTTAAGGTTTGCTACAAGCTACCAAAAACGTTTTAAGATACCTCCATGTATTGGTCCTAACCTCCAAAACTTCTCATTCGTTCATTGAAATAGACTATGCCTCTACTACCAATTCTAATTTTTTATTGATTCCCTTATGGGCAATAGTGTATGTCTAGCCAACTACGAGATGGGCACATGCAAACCGTGTCATCTTCTCCCACTTAAACAAGGCATCATCCATTATGCCTATTAGTTCTCTTTGTACACTCATTTGAGATTCTTGAACTGTCATAACTTTGCTACCGCTCTCAACTAGTTTCAAACTTAGGTAAACCATGCCAACACACCATGTACTTCTTCATTGGTGCACGTTTCTTGTGTCAAATAATATAATCAGTTAAAATATCCTTTGTGACCTTTTTGTAGTCATCCATAACATTTGTGGGTGCCCTCACTGATACGTCCCTCGACAGGTCTTGCAAATTCTTACGGAATAGTTTGAGTAGGCTAATAAGATAGATCCGATAGAGTTGGGATAGAATCTTGGGCAATTTCACTTTGTAGGCAACGTTTTCAATCTTATTTGGTACAGTAAATGATCTTTTATATCGTCTCATGAGACTCTTATGCACCCCAATAATGCATTCGTGTTGGAAGAGTTTCATCAACACTTGATTTCCTTCATTAAACTCGTGAAATGTGTGTTTACGGTCAACGCATTTTTTCATCCGCTGTGAAGTCTTCTCCTAGTACAACTTAATTGTTTTTGCTCATTCTTACCAATCTTGGGCAAATCAAAACACAGGAGGATTTAGACCCTTATACCTGTCAACAATATTTTTCAAAACCATTGGTTGAAATTTAATACGATCTTGAATTGATTTTTCGGTGTTTTCCTTCCTCCACAGATTGAAGTAAAATTAGACAACAATTAAAAATTTTATCCAATCAACTTGATTTATAGTCACGTAGCGTTGAAAGTACACTTTTAGTACTTTGTTAACTTTTTTCGTCTGCCCATCCATTTGTAAATGCATTGTTATTGACATAAGTTTCGATCCTAACAAACAGAATAGTTCCATCCAAAACTTACCCATAAAACGAAAGTTTCGATCACTTATTATAGATGTTAGCAAGCATCAATACTTGATGACATGCCCCATGAAGAATTTTGCTGTTACCTCTGTTGTGCATTCTTTTAGGGTAGGGATGAACACCGTATATTTGGACAAATGGTTCACGAAAACAAGTATGCTTGTACACCTTTTTTATCTCGGTTGTACTACAATGAAGTTCATAGAGACACTCTTCTATACGCGTACTAGAATTTGCAATGGTTGTAAAAGTTTAGTAGGTGGTTCGTTTTTCACCTTGTCTTATTAGTATGCAAGATAAGTTCTCATATACTAATTGATGTCGTCTCTCAAGTTAGGTTAGTAATACCATTCTCGCACAAAAGACAATGTATGATATGTTGTTAGGTGACCAACATATTGATTGTCGTAACACTTTTAAGAATGTCCCTCTGTAAGTAATCCAAATTCAAAACGAATATGTGTTGCCTCTTGGTATAAAAGACCCAAATCTTAAGCCAAATTCTCTTCCACTTGTCCTCTTTAACTAACTCCTTAAGCATTTGGGATTGCAGGTCTTGTTGAAACCCCTTTTTAATGCGTTTCAAAAGATGTCTCTTGATCATATAAGTAAATGTGATAGCAATTTTGCGGCTAAGGGTATCAGTTATTATATTGGTCTTATCCAAATTATACTCTAACTCATATTTGAATTCTGTTAGATAGTTCATCTATCATGATTACTTGCTTGAGAGTTTTGTTTGTGACTGATGGTAACTCACCGCTCAATTATCCGTCTTGATTTTGAACGGTATAATAACCTTAAGATAACATTCTCATACTCTCAAGTAATGCACGATCGCAAGCATTTCCATCTCATGAGTCAACCATTGTTTGTCCACATCGTTTACTTATGGCTCTCGTAAGTTATGGAGTAACTCTCTTGCATCAGAACCTTACTAATGGCTAAATCGGATGCTTGTGTGCATTTTGAATGGTTTGTCAAAATCTAGTAGTGTCAAGATTGGCTTCTTCATCATTGCATCCTTTAAGACTGCGCATGCAAAGTCATCTCATGAGTCAACCATTGTTTGTCCACATCGTTTACTTATGGCTCTCGTAAGTTATGGAGTAACTCTCTTGCATCAGAACCCTACTAATGGCTAAATCGGATGCTTGTGTGCATTTTGAATGGTTTGTCAAAATCTAGTAGTGTCAAGATTGGCTTCTTCATCATTGCATCCTTTAAGACTGCGCATGCAAAGTGTCCAATTCCTCACCTTATCTTTCCGTAATAAGTCTGTCAATGAAATGGCAATGACCAAGTGACCCTCTATAAATTGACGATAATAGTTCACTAGATTGAGAAATGACTGCAACTCCATTGCCATAATTGGTGCTCTCTAGTCTATGATCATCTTAATTTTTTGCGATTGCATCCAAATCCTATTGTTCTCTACGATGTGATTCAAGAAGAAGACCTCAAACAGTTCAAACTCGCACTTCTCATTCTTTACGTATAGTTGGTTGACTCAAAACGCGACAAATACTTGTCTCAAATATACAACACATTCCTCCATGTTAGTACTATACACAATAATATCATCGAGGTGTACCACAACGAATTTATCAAGCAAATCTTCAACATCTCTTGCATGAGGGTGCAAAATGTAGCTGGTGCATTAGTTAAATCGAATAGCATTACTTTGAATTCAAACAATCCATACATCGTGGTGATAGCCATTTTTGACTTATCTTTTTCCTTAACCCTTACTTGATAATAGATCTTATGCAAGTCTAGTTCAAAGAAAATCTTACCCAATTGAAGGCAGTCGAACAAGTTTATGATTAGTGGAATAAGATACTTATTTTTCACCATAATCTCGTTGAGAGCTCGATAGCCATTGCACATATGTAAGATTCTGTCCTTCTACTGAAAGAGGAGGGACGTTATAAGGTTAGATTTCAAAAATTCTCTTGCCTCCATAACACTTCAAGTTCTTCAGAAGACATTTGATAGGACGGTCAGGAGACGAGTTTAACGCCTTCCACTAGCTTGATGGTGTGATCTACAACACCCTTAAGAGGAAGTCTCTTTGGCAAGTCTTCAGGCATCATGTCTTGGAACTCTTCCATGACCTTCTTGAATTCGTATAGGATCGATACCTCTGTCTTAGATTCCAAAGTTGGAGGATTCTCCTCGTTAAATATAAATGTTAACTCATCTTTTTCAAGTTGAAGGTGACTTAACTCTTTCTTGGACACATGTTCATGAAATAAGAATTATCTTTTTATACAATAATGATAGCATCCTCATAAGGCACCATGATGAGTCTCAAATAATCGAAAAATCTCATATAAAAAAATTGGTAATCATCTATTAGGCAATGAAAAAATTAGCCATACCTATTCACGAATTTATGCGAATCGATACTTTATTAGTTTCTCTCGTGAGTGGTGTCCACTTGCCATTCATGCCCTTGAATTCTCTAATAACCAGCATCCACGTAACTACCATCTTTAAAATGGTGTTTTCACTCATATAGTTCACGATGATTCTGATATCCACTAATGTCATGACTTAGTACCTGTTGATAGTTGTATCAATGTACATATGACCTCAATCTTACGTGAGTACCTTATCTTGAATGGATTTGATGAGTCGTATATATGCCACATTTCATTTTTTAACCGCGCTAGACTTTTGTGTGGTTGTGTCTAGGTAGCCACAATGTAGGCAGTTTTTGGTATAATGCTCCTTCGTTTTATATATGAAACACCTATCAAAATTTTTGCTAGATTTTTCATTGTGACTATTCTTATCCTTCATCATCTTGCTTTCATCGGCATTATTCGATTGCAAGGTCTATTTAAACTTGTTTTCCCTACTCTTTGTGATGACTCCATCTCCCCCTAGGGCGTACCCCAGGGTTTAGCGAATCGTCTGCCAGCTTTCGCCAGGACTCACTCACTTACTTAAAAAAATAATTTACAACTATTGAAATTGAATGAAACAATAATTCCCAAGGTTAGAATGTACATTGATGCTTAAATTAAGCTCCAAGGCTCATACATTCTCAAAAATCTCAAAATATTTAAAATTCCAGGTAAATTCAACCCTAATCGAGCACTAGCGCGAATACAATCGCAAAAATTCAAAAAAACTGAACGATACTAGCCGGCGCCAGCCTCACGCCCTTGCTCGTACTTGGGTGAGGTAAAACTCAGTGAGGTTCCAAAACATCATGCAGACCCAAAAGAAAGTTGACCACTATTTAAAAGTGAAAATATCAAAGTAGTGAGTATAAGAGTTCATAATATGAGCAATAACAGTTCACATAGCAGTCATTAGGTAAACAACATTTCCAAGTGAAAGGATACAGTCGCCTTTGCGAGTTAACTCCGCCATAACTTTATCAAGTAATAGTTGATACTCTGTCAACTTTCAAGTAGAGTAACCAGTCCAGTAGTACCCCACTTAACTCCACTCTCCGACCACCATTCAAACCCCCTATCAGGCCCGAACTCTAAAATAAACACTCGTGGTAATAGTCGAGCATACCAAGTAGTCGAGGAGATAACACTCCACTCGACAAAACTAGAGACCCAGTATTCGTTATCTAATCGACCAAACCCTTGCCGGCTCGACTTGATTAATTAGCCACAAGGTTTCTGGAATTCCAGACCGTATTCAAGTTATATACATGTATATCAACTAATTGCAACCAATGAACAATAATATGTCACAGTAGGGCAAGTGCGATAAAGTACATCCTTGCCCTTGCCCGACCAAACAAATCAAACATTATCCGATTACATTGGTAAAGCATTTCAATCAAGTATCAAGTTCAATAATGCACTTGGAAGTACTCACCAATGACTTATGGCTTTTTAAAACCACGTTCAGGTGCAACTCCTTGGTTGAAATCCAAATATGTGATAAAATATCATTTAGCAGTTTGAAATCAATTAAGTTTCAAAATATAAATGAAACTCGTTTAAGTAGCATTTGTTTACTTATTAAACTTTAGAAAATTCATGTTCACTCTTTTGGTTTTGATAAAGAAGCGATTAACACTTATAAGTTCGCAACTTGGTGTTTAAAAAAACTAAGAAATCTTATTTAAAGTAGTTGCTACTTTCACCTTTAAAAGTATACGAGTTTTGGCAAAAATTCAGCTTATATACTTTTACTAAAGGAATCTTGAATACCCTAAACAACGTAAGTTCAATTCATTCACGAATCACCACTTAAGTTTCGATTTCACTCACTTATTCTACGAAAGAAAAAATTTAGGCAGCATATCCTTTGTATTTATCAAATTTTCAGCCATTAAGGCTTCATTTTTTTTCCTCAAATCAGCCCAACTCCAACACCACAAGTCGCATATTAAGATAGCTCTTCTTCTAGGCTAAAAACTATCAAATTGTAGCTCATTTCTAGGAATAATCATCCAATATCAAAACTGGAAATTTCTTAGCAAAGCTGGAAATTCATCTTTTAATGCTAAAAAGTCACAATCATACTACTAATCACCTCACAAATTCCATATCCAAGTAGGGATGGCAATGGCGGGGGTGGGGCGAGGGATCCTTCCCCTGTCCCCGCCCCGTTGTCAAATAACTCCCCCCGTCCCCCATCCTCCGCCCCTTGCCCCCCATCCCCCATCCGTTTCCCCCACGGTCCCCGCGAGGAAAAAAAATCAACTTATCATAAATATTCATTTACAATAATACAATTGTAAATAACGTTAAATAAAATTAAATAGCTATCAAGATGAAAATAAAACATAACAAGTCAAGTTACATTCATTCTTGTATTCAACAAATTCAGTCAAATTGATTTCTCATATTCAACAAACTAAAAGCACTCAACAATAAATCCAACTTTTCTCTTCATTAATATAATTCAACAACTTCAGAACATTTTCTCTTCGTCTATCTCGAGATGTGATAACTCACTTGATAAAGCAACCCTAACATTTGATATTAAAATAAAAGAAGAATCTTGTCAACAGAGTATAGTGTATAACAAATAATTGGGAAAAATCAATTTAGATGAATCAAATTTCTTTAATACCTATTCAGTAACACAATCAACATCATCTTCTTCATCAAATAATGTATTACATGACATCTCTTCCGAAGTAGAACAAGTAGCTGCACCAAAAACAATAGCCACTGATTTACTAAATAAAGAAATGCAAAAAAAATTGTATAAATTTAAAAGTAAAAGTTAAATCTTTTGTATACCATTTATTTCATTCCAGAGCCAAGTGCGAGTACACATCAATGCTTCCAAGGTATTGGCATGAAGTTTACATCGATGAGGACTAATTATTCTTCCACAAGTATTAAATGCAGATTCAGATGCCACACTTGAGACGGGTATAGCTAGAATATCCTTAGCCATTTTTTGTAAAGTGGGATATTTAACCCCATGTGTTTTGCACCAACCAAGTATGTCAAAAGTCGGAACTCTTGGTAACACATTTTCCTCAAAATAAAAATCCAATTCCGTCTTAGAAGTAACATCAATAGAGTTAGAAGCCACAAACTTATCAAAATCAGCAAGAGGATCCGTTTCAACTTCATTCTTATCATGACTCCCACTAACATGCTCACTTTGTGAAGCCATGCACTGACTATCAACTCTATTTCCACCCAAACTAGATCGGTATTGATAATCATGCAACAAAGAATAACAATTTTGACGAATTGCTTCAATTTTCACGAATGATTCATCACCATAATGATAGGAAAATAATACTCAATCAACTTTATTTTGTATCTAGGATCCAAAACTGCAGCAATACCAAGTATCACATTACAATCTTCCCAATATTTTTGATACTTTGCCATCATCTTTTCTGCCATTACTCTAATTAAACAATTTGAACTTTTCATCCATTGAGCCAATGATACCTTAATGTCACAAACTTTTGCAAAAAAATCATTTGATGTAGGATATCGAGTACTGGAGAACATTTCAGTGACTTGGTAGAATAATTTCAACTTCTCACAAATGGCATTACAAACTACCCAATCATCATCATTGATAAACTAGTGTAGTGTTTTTCTCACGCACTTTAACCCGTGGAAATACGTCTTAATAAATTGCAGCTATTTGCAACATTAAAAAAGTCGAATTCCAATGGGTTTTACAATCCAAGCACAACTTTTTAGTAGAAGAAATGCACAATTGGCGAGCCGCTTCTTCAAAATTTTCAATTCTAGCAGCAGAAGCAGGCCAATACACCATACTATCACGAATTCTTTCAATACCACCTGATATAATTTTCTAAACCATCGTTGACAATCAAATTTAAGATATGGGCAGCACAACGCATTTGAAGCACTAGACCATCTATCAACAAATCACTCACATTTAACTTTTCAAACAAACATTAATCATACCATCATTGGTGGAACAGTTATCTAAGGTAATCGTAGATATCTTACGATCAATATTCCAATCCATCAATGAACTAAGAAGCACATCACTTAACACTTCTTTGGTATGTGGAGCAAGAACATAGATAAATCTAAATAAAAGAAAAAATAAGTTGCTCATGTATAAACAATTAACATAATTCAAGTTTTTAACTTTTGAAAACATACCTCAAAATTTGACTTTGTAAGATCCAAGACTCATCAATATAATGTGCAGTGATAGTCATGAAGCCTTTCTTTGTGTTGCTAGAAGTCCACATATCGGTTGTAATTGCTATCTTACTTCCAAGCTTCTCCAAAATATTGCAATTCTTCAATTTTTGCAATTCATAGATCTTCAAAATATCTCCTTTAATTGTATTCTTGACACAAGTTTAAAACATGGCTGCAAACTCTTAACAAATTTTCGAAAGCCTATATGATCCACAATAGATAATGGATACTCATGCAGTACAATTGCAGATGCAAGCTCATGGCGTGACTGTTGTTGATCGGACACATAATTGTGCAATTCTTGTTTGCCATCATTCTTTTTAATACCACTTCGAAGTAACATTTGCCTAATATCTTGTTTAGACCTTTTAGCCACACCTATTGTAATGATCATGCAAGGTACTCATCCCATGAGTGCTACCTGTCTTGTATTTTTTTTACAATACTTGCACACACCATAAACAATGCCATTTTCACCTTTCTCTCTATCAAAATGTGCCCAAACTTTTGATTTTAATTTCCTTTTTCCTCCTTCAATTTCATATTCATCTTCTCCTACTGTATCGGTCAAGTCAACTGATTCAACATTCATGATTGTGGAGTTGATGAATTATCCCCTTGTTCAGATGCAATTAGATTTCCGGACTGATTCATTGTGATAAGAATTCTACAAAGACAAGAAACCAAATAGCACAATAAGTGGACTGCTCACAAACATGAAATACAACTATAATTTGTCACTTACACTAAAATTATAGCTACTCTGTTTAGAATCTAGAGGAGCACAAATGGATCATTACTGATTTGAAATGCTTATGCAAATATTTAATTCTGAAGACCGAAGAACAAAAAGTTTATTGTATGTTTGATGTCAGAAACAAACACAACAATATAGAGTCATCACAAATAATCACCTTCGTGTTCTTAGGATCCTGTTTTGTTTTAAAATGGACATACCAATTCATCAGCACAACAAGACAATCAATGTATAAGCACAACAATGATGGGCCCTTCAAATCTACCGCGAGGCCCACGACCACCAACTATAAGAACAAAATTCTACTTTGTACATCAGGGATTCAGGGTTCAACAACACATAGTTCGCAACATCAACGACTAGCTTCACATTGAACAAGATACATCACAGGACTCATCAGCAATATAGTTCGCAACATGTTGAAGTATGTTTATGTGCAAATCAAGCTTCAGAGCTCAGTGCCTCGGTAAATCACAGGTTTCAGTCAATTTAAAAGTTAATGAAAACAGAGTCTGCAACATTTTGGCAATTGCAGAGATAAAAAAGACTCAAGTACATGAAGAAAAAAAAATCAAAACAAAACAAGTCGATGCAATAGAAACAGAGGCAAGAGATAATAAACAATATCCTACATGAATAATGATGTAAGAAAGACTATAATGTATCCTCACGCAGTAGAAGTCGATGGAAAATCAGTGCTTCCCACAGAAATGCTCTTCTAACTTGCTACAAAACCAGAAATTCAGTTCACTTGGCAAGAAAAGATGAAGATTTACGGACTGACCACTTGCCGACGAAGATATGAGCTCGATCTGGGATTCTGGGTTGTGGTTAAAATTTTAGGAGGATTTAGACAGAGAATGGGTTTAGTTGAGTAGTGATTACTGATTAGAATTGAGGGCATGGACTATGGGAGGCGACAGCGGTGGTTGGCTGGCTGCGATTCTGCGAAGGAGGAAATGGAGGAACTGAGGGGGAAATGGGAATGGCGAATGGGGGATAATTACATCTAGGGGTTTTGCCTTTCTTTGTGTATTAATATATATATATATATTTTTTTGCGGGGGACGGGCGGAGGTATGTTGCCCCATCCCCCGCCCCGTTTTAAGGCAGGGAAATATTTTGCCTCTACCCCGCCCCATCCCTCGCCCCCGGGCACCTGCTCCCATTGCCATCCCTATATCCAAGGTCAATGCCAACATAATATAGTTGAACAACATAAATTAAGGCTAAAATGGCAAAATCCTAGCTGCAAATCCACTAATTTACACCAAAACTAGAAGATCATCATACTATTCCAAGATTCATGCCATCTTTACCATATTTAGCAAGAATAAGAAAGAGAAAAGAAGTTGATAAACTTATACATTCCAAAACTTCTTGAAAAGTGAAGAACCAAGCAATTTTCCCAAGAATTTCACCACTCCAAACCTCCTAAGCACCAAGGGTGATAAGTGAATATTCAACGTATATTTTGTACAAGTTTGCCATAAATTTTGGTATGTTTGAGAAGATTAAAGCCATATTTGAATTCTTTTGGTAATAATTGCTTAAATATTATTTAAGTATTCAAAACTTGACAAATGAGTGGATTAATGCGTTAATTTTGTGAAATTGTGAAGGATATTGATGTATGAATTCATGCACGAGATGAAAGAAATGTAAGGATCGTCCAGGGGATAAAGTACACAAGAAATTATGAGTAAAAGTGAAGAAAAAGGAAAAAAGAAGTGAAAAAGGGAAAAAAAAAGATCAGCACGGATCCGAGCTCGGATCCGTGTAAATCAAGAGAGATCCGAGCCCTTGTCTGTACTTCTGGAGCAGTGTATCCGAGGACAAACGATCGAGCTCGGATCCATTAGAGAAAGGCCTCGGATCCGCTTAATCCGAGCTCGGATCGAACTTTCACCTCTCGGATCCAAGACTCGGATCTGTCTCTCTCTTCTGCAAATGGCACAACTTTTTTTTCTTACTTTTCACACAACTTTTCAGCTATTTGGAGTCAGTGAATTCGGTGGCACATGCTTCTGCAACAAAAGGGAAGACAAAATGAGTTAAAAAAAAAAGTCAAAACAACATTTTCTTTTGACTTCCTTTACAAAATCTAAGTGGTTGAAATTATGAAGAGAGAAAAAATGCCTTTCCACCACCTTTTATGCAGAGACACAAGGAGGAGCTGGAGTACCATAAGTAGTTAGTTTTCCTTCTTGTAACTAGTTTCTCTCTAGTTAGGAGTTCTTGGAGAAGCATTTGGAGTTTTCACTTGTAATCATCTTGTACAAGAATATAGCAGAAATTGGATTGGTTTCACCATCAATTGGCTAAGCTTCTTTTATCTTTCTTATACTTGTACTTTATTATGTTTTGCATTAATAAACTTGTGAGTTTGATTGTTAAATCATTCATGAGTAACTAATTTTCTTTATCTAGAAGTAGATGAAATTTATGGCTAAATAATATGAATTGAATGTGATTTATACTTGTTATATCTTGTATTAACTTGTCTATTTGTGCATGTGATAATTACTTGTTATTGCTTGATCACCAATAGCATGCTTATAGTTGTTATTGTTCAATGAGAATTGGTAGTAACAATGGAAACACATGAGTAGAGGTTACGTTGTATGTTCATGAAAATAGAGATACACTTGAGTGAATTTTCTAACATTTCATGAAGGAAAACAGAGTAGAACTAGTATTTCACCATGAAAATAGGGAAAACTATATTGCTCTAGGCCATTTCATCATGAAAATGAGATTTGGTAATATTGCAAATGAATCCCTGGTTAAACAAGAAAAAAACAAGAGGTAAATCTATTTATTTGTGTTGTTTATGCCATAAGTGGAATCTACATCCCTAGATTCAATCTTTAGTGAAATTTCTCCATTTGTATTTAGCATTGATTAAACCAGAGTTGTAGACAATAGCATATATAATTTTCTTACTCAGATTTATTGTAAGTCTAAATAATAGAGAGAAATAAGGGCTAGTACTTGTATAATTTGCTTCTCGTGAGATTGACCCAATACATACCATACATTACGATTTCGGCCTGTATACTTGCAGTCAACAGGTATAAAATCGGATTTAAACTTGCATTGATATAAAAATCCCGTCAAAGGGATTAGTTTAATCAGTTTAGTTTTTTGTGATCTCTATTCAAACAAGGAAAAATCAAAGTTGGAATTGAAAGTTTTCTTCTCTCTTTCTCCTCTCCTAGCTTTCGGCCACCATGAAGATAAAATGAGAGAAAGTTAGCCAAAATGAAAGATAAGAAGGAAGGAAATATCTTGGTTAAACTCTACTTTGATTGCCAATACTTGGCAAGTCAAGATTCTTCTTTTTTTTTTCCCTCCTTTTCTTTGGTCAAGAATTTCAGCTGAATAGAGGATTAATTTAGGGCTGATTATATGAAATAAAAACAAGAAGATTATGGTAAAAAAATATTGTTCAAGTGGTGTATTCAATCGGTAACAAACGGTGCACGTCGGTTCAAGCCTATTTTTCTTAACTCTCTCGTTACTAGTGTTTTAACTTATGATTATATACTTATTATTAGCACTTCTAATCACAAACTTTCTCTTACCTAAAATTCACTCTTATCCACCAAATTTAGTACACACATCTCACCAACTAATCACACTACTAAAATACGCAAAACTATAGTTTACCCTAACTATAAGGTAAAGGTAAAACTATCGATTTTATTATTTATTACAACTAGTGAGAGGGTAAATTAGTAGTAAAGATATTATAAAGTAACTTATTCAAAATAAAAGGAAATTTTAAGAAAATATAGAGAATTTGCAAGTGCTCACACTTTTTTTTATTAATAGGTGATTACTTACCCTTGTTCTATATGATTCCTTCTTCTAGAACTCATGCAACTTTTGAGCGACCCTCATTGCTTGAGAGAAATTTGCATATCCTTGTCCTCAATTCGGTGTCTCACCGACGGTCTCACACCATTAAGGAATGTAAAAAGTGCATCTTTAGAAGACATGTTGATAATCTCCAGTAACAAGTTGGAAAACTTGTCCAGATATTCCTTCATGTGCCCGTTCTTGTGTTGTAGACAATGAAACTTGGTTCGAGTTTCATGCTCGCCATTGAGTGGTCAAACTTCGCTTTTAATCTGATTTTAAACATGTCCCGTGTGATGATGACAGTTTCTCCCTATGCCCATCATCACACCTCCTCCTCCATCATATCAATACGAAATTCTTAAAATATAGTAAAATTGTATAGTATATAGTATCATTCCAAAGGGTGGCAAGCACATCAAAATAACGTTCCAATCCATAGAGAAAATTTTGTATATCTTGGTCTTTCCTTGTTTCGGCATAAATTTCTATGGTCTCGTATTCACTTTTGAACCATCATCAACGTCAGCCCTCGACCCTTGATGTAGCCATTGCGACACCAAATGTCCCTTGTATCCTTATCACATCAAGTTTCACAAGTTCTTCTCCAACAAATGACGACTCCATTGTGAACACACTAGTACCCTTTGCTAGTTGGGCTCTGCACAACTCATATTCACTTTTGAGTTGGATGATTTCATCATGGAGAGACTCGACCAAGAGTCTAATAGTATCGTCCCTCTTGAGGAGTTGATCTACGATCTCATTGAGTGCCCTTACATGTCCTCTTATAGTTTCTCATGCAACACGTCTTCGTGAAGCTGTTTCACGTATTGATCCAACTCATCCCTTTAGTTGTAATGATTAACTATGATTAGTTTTACTCTATTTAACCTTATCTCATGTGCTGCCATCAGTTCTGAAATGGCCAACTTGTCCCCCTTGCCTTTGCCACGGGCAACTCTGTCTAATTTTCTTGCGGCGTGCTTCTCTTGAACATCCTTAGTTGCTTCCAAAACTATAACCATTTCTCAAACGACTTTTGTTGGTATCAAACTCGAATACCACATGTCTCGGATTGATTAAATTCTCTATTAACACAAAACCTATGCAACACTAGCAAATTTAAGACTTTAGTGATGAATGATTGCTAGTTTAGTCTAACTCTTAAATGCGTAGTTGTATGAAAGTGAAAGAAGTAAGCAAAGAAGAGAAAGGTGAAAGTTAAAAAAAAAAACTCTTTTATTGCACTCAAAGAATTACTTAAGATCCATACTTGTTAGCTTACTCGATCTCGAGTTTAATCATAATTGAACTTAATCAAGTTCAAACAAGCGCAACCAAGTTAAATCAATATAAGTAATATATTATCGTTTCCAAATGAGAGATAAATTTTTCGTTTCATACAATTGTACAACTGACAACAATATTGAAGACCTAAATACTTACTCAACCCACCCAATAATTTGAAAGGTTAGATTGGATCAACTGAATTGGGTCGAGTCAGTTGGGTGTTGGATTTCTGTTGGATTGATTGAAAAAAGTTTTCTATAAAGAGCTAGTACTTTGTTCATATAATGAAGAAGAGCCATAAAAAGGGAGTATTTTATGAAAAAATTGATACTTTATGAAGGAAAGTCATAAATATATAATAATTTATGAAAAAATAGGTATTACATAATAAACTCACTTATTTGTTAAAAATTTTACTCTAATTTTATCCGATAAATAAATTAGTAATTTTTTAGATTTATACATAATTATTTTTTTTCTTTTCTATTTTTATAAAAATTAATCAAATTTTTTTCAAAAATCACAAAAATTCACAAAGGTTGATTTTTTTCAAGAAAGCTGGAAAAAGCTGGTACTTTGTGAGAAATAAATAAATAATTTGAATTTTAAATTGATAATATGAATGGACCATATTCATTCAACCCACTTATAAAAGGATTGGATTTGGGTACCCATCCAAACCCATTAAATTATTCCATATAAAGCTAGTGGTTTAATTATACATAGCATAATTCTTTTCTTACACTCATATACGGACCTTTTTCCATATTCCAGCAATAAAACGAGTTTTTTTCGACTTTCAAAGTATGCCCCCAAAAAATACAGCAATAAAAAATTTCATCAATTTTCTATTGTTTTGATGGTAAGGCCCAATGGTAAGATATGGATTGCAAATTCCTTTTTTTAGTTCAAATCCGGGTGTCGCTTGATCAACAAAAAGCTGAGATAAACTTACCAAATTATTTTTCATCCAAAGTAGAGATAGGCACTATTATTAAGGCTTCTTTGATTCTGCTAATGAATGTTATCCAAGCCATTTTTTCAGTCTTGTAGTTGTCGCGCCCCATTTTTTAATAAGAAAAATAAAAGACGAGTTTAAAAAAATGACTTTTGATTCAATTTTTGATTGAAAAGTGAATTTTTGATTTAAAAAGAACATGAAAAACATGGGTCTAAATGGAACTTGAAAATGTGACGATTTAACTCAAAATATAGTTTAAAAAAGAATTTTTTGAATGAGAAATGAAGTCGCCATTTGGTATAGAGTTAAGGTGTACCAAGTCACCTAAAAAATGAATTTTTAAAGAAAAAAGTAGAAAAATCCTTTTTTAAACGACTCCAAGTCTACAAAAATCAAAGAAAAAGATTCGAGAGTCACATTTGAAGAAAAGGAATGCAAGGATAAGAATCCAAGGCACCCTTTCAAGCTAGCCAAGGCTAGTTGCGCGATTTAGTCAAAAATTTTCTTATGTTAACCTTAAGATTTGTCACATTTGGATGTACTATATGAATGCATACCCTAGACCTAGGAGGGTGTCAGGGGATCGAAATATATCTTCAAAACTTACTTGGTACCAATCACATTAATTATGACGCCCAATAAAGACTCTTCGAAGAAATTACGAATAATGCAAGTCATAAGACTCGAAAGAAAAAAAAAAGAAAAAAAAAATAATATACAAATGTGTATAACCTAAAGGAATACATCATGTCGGGTGCGGAGAACTAATGTTCGTGACTCCAATGTTCCCTTTAATAGAGGGAATACGAGCGTGCTAAGGCTAGAGAGCCAAACTCGTCCATATCTCATACGCAAGGAATTTTCCCTAGTCTAATCAAGCAAGATGGACTAATCTACCCCTAATTCCCTAAATGAGATGCAAATCTAAATGTTATATATACATAGGGATAAGGGATATTTTATTAGGGGGAAATATGATGTGAAAATGGTAAAGATTCTAAAAAATGGAAAAATATGCATGAAGTGTAACGTAATCATACAAACATGATCTAGCGAGGGAGGTCCTTAAGAGTCTAGCATTGGACTAACCCATATCTATGAATTCCTACTAGCATTGGACTAGTGAAAAATCGGAATGAAGGGCCACAACTAGCGTTGGACTAGTGTGGTAACGTCACACATTCATTACAATCAAATAAATCATGTAAAACCTAATAAAGCACATAAATCACATATAGCACATAACACATAAGCATGATATCTAGATGCAAGACCCTAAGAAAGCGGATAACACATAACATAAGCATGCAAGACATACCAAGCAAATAAGCAAACAAGCCCTAACTATTACATTAGGGGTAGCCCTACTACAATCTAAAAAGGGGAAAATACATAAATAAATAATTAAAGGAATACCTAACTATTACAAATTTGGCATTCAAGTGCCTTTCAAATGATAGATATACAAAACTAAAGACAATAAAGCAAATAAACAAATAAATGAAATAAATAAATAAACATCCAAGGGGCATGCAATTAAACACGTAAAATCACATAGGGCACGTAGGGTCAAATAAAGTAAGGGATAGGGTGTACCTCCCTTGATTTGGAGCCCCAATGGTGTGAAATTACTTATTTACCCTCCAAAATACAAAGAAAAGGTCAAGGCATCACTTTAATTAACAAATAATCATAAAAGATAAAAGTGAATTGTGAAATTGAATCAATTAAATCATATAAACAACCCACATTTAAGAAGTCAAAAGAAGAAAGGACTTGATTGCAAAAATTAACAAAGTTTTGGGGTCTAAAATAAAAGAAAAATAAAGTTTAGGAACCTATTTGCAATTAAACCTGGGACCCAATTGAAAGAAGCCTAAAGTTTTTAGGGCCGTAGCATAATTAAGGAAAAATCCGAGGACCATTCTGCAAATTCATTTTCTGGTTCTGAAACAAACAGGCCATTGGGCCACTTTTAATTTCTTCTTGGGCCAATACCACTTGGCTCGATCGGAAGTCCAAGGTACTGAAATGAGGTAACCCACTTTTTGCCAATTAAAACCCCCAAATTAATCAACAACCCAATCCTAAACCCAATCAAAAGTGTTGGACTTTATCTTTCTAAACCCAAATCAGAAACCCAACAAAATAATCTAAACCAACTCCTTAAACCCAAGTCAAAAAAAACCTCTCACCCAAAGCACACATTTCACTAAAACCCAACATGATAAATCAAATAAAATTATTAAACCACAATCATGACCCAAAATCAAGAATTAATCTATCCACAAAGTCACATAAAATATGCAAACAGAGGATTAAACTTAAAAGGACAAAATTAGTTCAATTTTTCCAGACTTTGGACCACAGTGAAATTGGGCAGGAAATGAAGGGTTCAATTGCAATTTTCAGAAATTTATGCTTCAGGCTCCGCGAAGCTCTCTCTTCGACGCTAATTTCTGGGTTCTGCAATTTCTGATGCTTCAAAATCCATCAATTTTACCCGGCAAAACACACTACATCATCCGATACCAAAGACATTGAACATGACAAGAATTGATTCCAAAATTCCTTTATTTTCTTTTCCTTTCCCCAATTAACAAACGGGCAGATTCTAGCTAGCTTTGGACCGGCCGGCATTCCTCTCTCACGGATACAGAAGAGCACCAAAATCTTTCCTTTTTTGATTCAAGACTTTGGTTTGGGCATTTTAGCAAACAATACATGAGCATAAAAATTTTCAGCAAATCTGTGAGCAATCGAGATAACAACCAACCCCAAAATTATTTAGGAACAAAGAACTTCAATTCCAATCATCATATGCAGTATGTATATTCAAAAATTGAGGCCAATTAGCAAGAAGATTGCACCAGATGAAGCCACGGCCGTCAAGCTTAGGGGGCTTAGGAAGGAATTGAAATTCAAAGGAAAAGGGTCAACTTACAGTGCTCTTATTTGAGCGGCGGCTATGACGAAGACGAAGACGGTGAATTGGAAGATGACGAAGTCTAACTTCGTCTGAGAGCTTTCATCTAGATTCGCAGCGAGCGGCAGCGGCCAAGAAGGTTGTGTAGTGCTTTTTCCCTCTGTGAAAATTCGCAGGTGGGGGTTGAACAATTCCGGTGGTGTCAGATTCCGGTTGCTCTGTTTTCCTTGCCTTTCCCTCGTCTTACAATTACTCAAATTCCAAATCTTCACGTTCGATCCCACGACCCAGAAACAATTGTCGGCTGCAGATTGTTCGGCTAACCAATCTGTAGGCCCATCAGCATCCTGTTCCACAGCTTTGATGGTTTTGTCGCCAGAGGCAGAGACAACTTGGCGGTTGCCAATGGAGAAGGCTACGGAGAGAACATCTTTAGTGTGGATGATGAAACGGCGAGCGGTGGTGCCGGATTGAAGGCTCCAGAGGCGGAGCTCGCCGTCCCCAGGATCAAACTCCCTTGTTGCTCTGTTTTTTTTTTTTTTTTTTAGACGAAGCTCCCCCCCTTTTCCTTTTTCCTTCTCAGCCGCCTTTGCTCTCCTCTTTCTTTCGGCCCTCCAATCCTTTTTTATTTTCTTTTCAAAATCCCTGTCCTACAAGTGTCTCCTTCCCTTGCCACCTAGGTGATGCGTTGTTAGCAAATAAGAAGGGACATTTGTCCACATGCAAGTTTCTACTTGTCAATTTTTCTTTTCCTTTTTTTATGAAATTTAGTATGAAGATCAAAATAAATAATAAAATAAAATAAACTAGACAAAATAAATAAAAGAACTAAAAATAAAAATAAAATAAATAAATAAACTAAAAACCTAAAAATTGCACATAAATCTAAACTTAAATCAATTAAATAAACAGAGTTGAAAATCAAAAATTTGGTGTATACAGTAGTCGATTCAGGTATATGGGTTGACGTAAAGCACTAGCTAATGAATTTTTTGATATTAAGGAATATTTTTATCCCCACAATTTGATGAATTTGATGTCAAATAATGATAAGGATTATGATGTGCTTGTTAAAGAATTTTATACCAATTGTACTAAAAATAAAGACAAATCGATAGTATATTCAGAAGTTAGGAATGTACATATTGAGGTGTCTATTGAGGTTCTAAGGGGTGAGTTTGGTTTGGTTGACAATAGATATTGTGTTGATTATAAAATGATTAGTGCTAAGAATATTGATAAGATTGTTGTGGAAGGGTATAATGAGACAAAATTTTTTAGAGAAATTAAGCAAAAGGATGACAAAATTATGCAAAAGGATGAAAAAAAGAAAGTTTTATGGGTCTGATATGAAAGTTTTGCCAAGTTTTTTATATTTGCTGATTACTCATGACATTGTGCCTAAAGTTGGAAGTGTCACTTCCATTAGTACAGTAGAAAAAATGATTTTGTGGTACATGTTGAAGAAAAAATCAGTGAACATTGGCAAATTGATGATTACCATAATCTTCAACAAGATTAGGAAAATTAAGAATATGGAGAATAAGAAAATCAATCTCCCATTTGATAGATTTCTAGCCAAGATCTTTAAGCGCTTTAAGGTTCCTATAATATTGACAAAGGATTTTTTGGTCAAATAATGGGAGTTTCATACTTGAAAGAAATTGCAATCAAAACTGAAAATTAGGGTTGGATGTTGAAGAAATTTAAAACTGTTGATGATATGGCTATTGGAGTGAGTGGAGAACAGAATAAGAAAATTGAACCAATAAAAGAATTGGATCAAGTGTAGCAGCTTGTTGGAGTGGAGAAGTTGTCGATCTTGGAAGAAAAAGAAGAGTTTGATGATGTTGTTATACTTTTAGAAGAAATCAGAGTTGCGACAAGTGTATGTTAATGTGTTCGTTTTCATCTTATTGTTTCTTCCTATCAAGTAACTAAAGTGTATAACCTAATCCTTTTTTTCCTAGATTAAATATAAGGTGAAAGAAATTCTAGAAAAGATTGGTTTCTAGTGTTGAAAGAGACCAGATTTGAAATATTGGTATTTCTGAAAAATGTAAGACATGTTATTTATGTTTTATTATTAATTTATATATATTTAATTTCTTTTTGAACAGTGTCAGTGAGAAAGTTCTGAAGTACTAGAGAAGGATTTGAAAAAACCTGTAGACTTTTAGCTTAGAGAAACCCTTCTCCACAGAACCTAGCATCATTTCCAAAGGTGCCAAACACATCAAAATAACATTCTAAGCCATAAAGAAAATTTGCTATGTCACGAGCTTTCCTTACTCTAGCATAAGATACTAAACATAAAATCTCAACCCTTGATGTAGCCGTTGCGGCACCAGATACCTCTTATGTCCTTATCGCATCAACATCAGTCGTTAGTTTCACAAGCTCTTCTTAGACGAATGATGATTCTACTATGGACACACTAGTACCCTTTGCTTGTTGGGCTCTGCACAACTCGTGCTCATTTTTGAGTTGGATGATTTCATCACAAAGAGACTCGACCAAGAGCCTAACAATATCATCCCCCTTGAGAAGTTGATCCATGGCCTCATTGAGTGCCCCATACATGTCCTTTCACAGCTCCTCATGCAACACGTCTACTTCAAGCTTTTCATGTATTGGTCTAGCTCATCCCCCTATCGTAATGATTGACCATGATTAGTTCCATTCTACCTAACCTCATCTAATGTGCTACCATCGATTCTAAAATGGCTGACTTGTCCCTTTGCCTGTGCCATGGGCAACTCTCTCCAACTCTCTTGCAGCGTTCTCCTCTTGAACATCCTTTGGTGCTTCCAAAGCTATAACAATTTCTCAAATGATTCTTGTTGGTATCAAACTCTAATACCACTTGTCACAGATTGACTAAAATCCCTATTAACCCGTGCAGCACTAGCAAATTCAAGACTTAAGTGATGAATGATTGTTAATTCAGCCTAACTCTCAAATGTGTGGTGAGGAAGCGAAAGTAAGCAAAGAAGAAAAAGATTGAAAGCTAAGAAAAACTCTTTATTGTGCTCAAAGAATTACACAATGTGTTTACAAATGAAGGAGTTTGGCCTATTTATAGGCAAGCCAAGTAGTCTTAACAAAGTTCTAGAAACTTCTACACGCTATCTCTCTACACTTAGTCTCTAGAACGTTATATACAAGGTAAAACTCTTATGTACAAACTCTAGACTATTTTTCAAGGCTCTTGGATGGTCTAAAACACTCCAGAAACCTTTAAGGCTTGCTACAAGTTATCAAAATGTTTCAAGAATCTTTCATGCATTGGCGCTAATCTCTACGGCTTCTCATATTACTCATCGAAGTAGACTATACCTCTACTATGGATTCTAATTTTTCACTGATTCCTTTATAAGCAGCAGTGTATGTCTAGCCAGTTATGGAACGGACACGTGCGAATTGTGTCATAGGGGATAAGAGAGGAGGAAGAGGATGAAGGAAAAAGGAGGAGGAAGAGAGGAGGAGAGGAAAGATGGAGCACAAGAAGGCAAGGAAGAAAAAAAAAATGGGCAATGTGGACTAAGGTTGGGCAATGGTGATAGAAATGAAAATTGTTAGTAGGTTGAGGGGGGGCAATGGCGACAAAAATAAAAATGGTTTCAAGGGAGATGGTAGAAGAGAGGAATGGATGTGTGGTTTTAAGTGTTTTAGAATATGTAATTTAAGGTTTTTGTGGCATTTTTGAGAATTACTATAGATAAAATTGTTTAAAAAAACTTGTCCAATAAAAATATGCCAAAATATGGGATGTCCAACACTCCCTACATTTGTCTGATTCACTTGTTCTTTTATAATAAGCACACAAAAAGAGAAGTGAGTCACAATAAAATTTCAGCATTTATCACCCATCCATGGATTCTTAATATTTCAACGTTAAATATTTGAATTTTTGCTAATGAAGTTAAACTGGGCTGAACTAAATTGAAGAATGTAGGTGCTTCTACATAAGACTAAAATGAAAAATATAGGAAAACTATCTGGAAGTATAGAGAAGGTAAGGTAAAATATATGTGCTTCTGTTATGACGAAAACGAACATTGAGATGGAAATTGTAAGCCTTAACTTAAGAGCTTGAATTAAAAGAAACTTAATGAAGTTTCTACTTCTAGTTTATATATCATTGAAATTAATATATCTACATTGAAATTTAATTCATGAATATTATAGGAAGTGGTTCCCATATTTGTATCAAATATGCATGAGTTAAAAAGAAGTAGGCTGCTTAATAAGGACGAAGTGGTCATACAAGTTAGTACTAGATCAATAGTTATTGTACTAACTTGAGGAACATATTTAACTTTCTGTGTTAGAAGTAAAAAGTTATTATTTTATTTCAATTTTGATTGCAAATATGATTTCTATTTTATATTTGGACAAGGAAAGTTTTTCCATTGCTATTAAAGATAAGTATTCTTCTTTTTTACATGATGAAATTTTTCTATCAAAGTTGGTCCCATATGATTTACATATTCTAAATATGACAAGTATAATTATCAATATAATTACTAAGAAACAAAAAATATATGATTTGAACTCTCTTAAATTTTGGATTGTAAATTAAGTCATATGAATCAGAAATGTATTTCAAAATTATATTAAGATGACTGTTTGGACTCAATTGATTATTAATCATTTAAAACATACAAAAATTTTTCATTTGAAAAGATGACCAAGGTACCTTTTAGTGATATGGGTTAAAAAGTTAAAAAGTCATTAATACTCATAAATAGTAACATATGTGGTCGTATGATAATTCATTTTAGAGGTGGTTTTTTCATACCTCATTACTTTTCTAACAACTATTATAGGTATGAATATGTATAAATAATAAAGTGCAAATAAGAGGCAATTTGAGAAGTTCAAAAAGTTTGAGAAAGAATTAGAGAAATAGTTTGGTAAAAATATCAAAAGGTGCATATTGAGTAAAGGATGTATATTGTTAGAACAACCACCGTTGTAACAAGCAAGTAGTTTCTCAGATGTTGACATGTTGTAAGATACACATAAAGGATGCTAAGTAAGTTGTTACATGGGATAGGGGAGAAGCTTTTGACGGTAGGAGAGGTTATATAATGGTTGATTTTGGGATTCAAATTATATCCTCGTATGGGACTTATTTCTCATAAAGGATAGGTTTTCTCTCCATGGAGATAAATTTGGTAATTGAATTGAACCATGCTAAATCTTGTATATCATTTGTATTTTCATGATGCGTTCCATTGTTGTATTTTTTATTTTTGATAGTTGTTTTATTTCATGCTTGGATCTCAATGGTTGGTATCAAAGCATGGTAGGATTTTGGTTGACTATTAAGGCCAATGAGTCAGTAGCAATTATAAATTCAACAATTTAATGGGTGAAAATATTCTTTTTTAAAAGGCTTGAACGGAAATGATGGGAAACCAACAAGCATAAAGGATATTTGACATTAAATCAAAGCAGATGATTCAAGCTTTTAAATTCAAATTATATTTGTTTTTGGGTGGTGTGGCATGTATTCTAAGAAAACAAAGAATCTAATTTTCAAAATTTTTGTTGCAAATAGAGTTTTTTATCACATAATTATATTAATGGTGGAAGTAGAGTTCAAAAAAGAGGAACCAAACTTGCTTCCAAATTGCAAGTGATGATGAGAAGGAAAATCTGCAAAAAAATAGAGCAATTTGAAACACTTTCTCATGAGTCAACTAAAGGATGGACTTGGGTTAACTATTTGTGTCCATTTTTGGATTGAATCAAGTAGTGTCAAAACTTCATTAGTTCGGGTGTGTAGTTTGGCACAAGGTTAATTAGTGGTTAAAATACAAATGATTACTAAAACAAAAGTTCACCAAGGTGTAGATTGTAAGGAAATTTGGCTTATTTCTCTTTTAAAATATTTTGTTTTGTATAACAAATAAATACTATAGTTTCTAGCAGTTTCTATTTATTTGGGTAGTAGCTAAGAAATTTTCTATTTTTATAATTTTAAGAATTATCTTAAGTTATTTCCTTATGTTATTTGGTTTTAATCAAATAATGTACTCCATAAATAGATAGAAATTAGCATACTCCAAGGTGCACAAAAGAGGAACCATATAGATCTTTAAATGGGGTGAGAGAGGGCTGATTAGAAATGAGAGAAATTATACAAGAGTTGGTTTTGGGGTTTCTAAGTTATATTCTTCTTTACGATTCTTCTCTCATAATAAAAAATAGATTTTCTCTTCATCGATATAGGTTTGGAAATTGAACCAAATTACATTAGATCTTGTGTATCATTTGTATTTCCATGTTGTGATTTGATTACATTAAATTGTTATATTTTTTATTTCTCAACAGTAATTTCATTACGCACTTGAATCTGAACATTGTGCATTATTACTCTATGCATTATAAATCACTTTTTAATTCAAATTTTGTTAGTTTTATTTTGACCTAATGTTTCAAGTGGCTAATAAATAGTTGAGATAGGATTATTAATATTGGGTATGATAGCAATTGATTGCCTTACTTATTGCGGTCTCTTGTCCTTGTAAATTCATGTATACTGTACGTACTTGTATCCTAATAGATTTATGTCTATTATAATATGTAATTTTAGTTTTAGTAATTCATCTTTTCTTTTTTCTTACAATATGAAATTTTTCAATTTTCCCTTATTTTTTGTATATTTTAGATTAATGCAATTGCTAAATCCTTCTGTTGGAACGAATGCAGTTAAGGATGGCAATGGGATGGGGTAGGATGGAGGAACCACCTGCTCCCACCTCGTCACCCAAAAGCTCTCCTTATCTCATGCCTTATCTTTTACTACCTTCATCTTCATCTTATTCCCTACCTTACTCCGTTACCCTTGTAGGTGCTTTTGTTTTGCCTCACTACTATTTTTATTTTTATATTTGACTTTATTTTTATATACGTATAACATAAATAATGAATTTACTAAAATTTTTTTTTGCATTTTTAGTAAAAAGAAATTTAATGTGAGACAAAATTTAGGGAGTCACGGATAGGTTGATTGGTTCAGGGGGAGAAAATGTAACTGAGAGATCTCGAGTTTAAACCCCCCTACTTACACTATAAAAAAATTTAAAAAAAAAGTTTGAAAAGGGTTTAGAAATCATTTTGATCTTGTGAGCTCTCCTCATCTCATGCCTTATCTTTTACTACATTCATCTCCATCTTATTCCCTACCTCACTCCGTTACCCTTGCAGGTGCTTTTGTCCTGCCCTACTACTAGGGATGTAATTAAGCCGAATTGCTTCAAAAGCTTGACTCGAACTTGGTTGATCGAGTTCGAGCGGCTCGATAAGCTAAACGAGTCGAGTTTGAGCATTCAAAAGTGATGCTCGAAGGCTTATCGAGCCTTATCAAGTCTTTTAATTTTAATTATTTAATATATTATTATAAAATCACTCCTATACTCAAAAGAGTTGTTGAATTTATGAAATGTTTCGAATCGTATAAAAATTTTAAAAGGTTAATAATGTGTTTTTGCACAAAAATTATCAAGAAAATGAAATTTAGTAACTCGAGCTCAACCGAGCTCGATAAGACTCGATTGACTCGAGCCCATGCGAGTCGAGCTCGAGTATTGCGAGCAAGCTTCGAGCTCGAGCTCGAGCTCCAATATCACTACTCGCTCGAGCTTGAGCACCTTTCTTGTATATCAAGTTGAACTCGAGTATGGCGATACTCGAGCTTGACTTGACTCGATTACAGCCCTACCTACTACTATTTTTTTTTATATTTGATTTTATTTTATATACGTATAACATAAATAATGAATTTACTAAATATTTTTTTGCATTTTTAGTAAAAAGAAATTTAACATGAGACAAAATTTAGGGTGTCACGAATAGGTTGATTGGTTCAGGGGGAGAAAATGTAAATGAGAGATCTCAAGTTCAAACCCTCCACTTACACAATAAAAAATTTTAAAAAATGTTTAAAAAGGGTTTAGAAATCATTTTGATCTTGTGAATGCGTTTCTCTGTATTTGATATTATATAGTATCTAAATCAATTGTTGTTAATTTTTATAAAATACATTACATAATTAAAAAGACTAATATAATGAGATTATTATTTAACTACAACAAGTTTACTAGAAAGATTATATTGTTTTATCAAAAAATATCATATAATCAATTTCAATTTACATGTATATAGTTATGTTATATTACATTATATTTCATATTTTTTTACATATAGTATTAAAATTATAAGTGGGTAGTCGGATGGGGGAAGGGGACAAAGGTATCTTCCCATGCATCCAGCCCTATTTAAAAACAGGAGAAAATCTCCCCATGCAAACCCCTACCCCTGCCCCCATCTCCGCCTTTTATTTTTTCTCACTTCGCTAAACCCCTATATGGGTATCCTTCTCATTGCCATCCCTAGATATAGTTTATAAATTATCACTCACACTACTAAAAAGGCCTTTAATAGCATCACAATTGGATGACTTTTTAAATTTGGGAGAATTAATAAAATGGTAATAGAAAGATTGTTTATTCATAAAAAGGGTATAATATGAGGTAATTCAAGAGAAGGGAATGTGCTACTATATAACTCATTAAACAATGATTATCTCTCAATTAAAATTGCCTTGTTGCCTCTTTTTGTTTCTCTCTAACCTAATCCACTCTGTGCCTATCATACCCATCGCTTTTCCTTTTCTTCGTCTTTAGATGATATTTGAAAATTCTTGAACCTTAGTGTCTACATCGAGCATTCATTTTACAATCAAAGTCAAATCCACTGGATAAGCAAGATTGAAATTTTAAATATTCTAGTTTCTAATGTGTGAATTTTACATCATTAACTCAACTCTATATTTGGTTTTGGAACTTAAGATTTTGACTGATTCAATGAAAATTTCTAGAGATTTTGACCATAGCCCAATTTTTGAAGTTTGCATTGTATAAATGAATTGGGTTTTATTTGTTTGTTCATTCTCATGTCACTCCGTCATCATTTGAATGGTCAAATTTGCTGATGTCTAAATTGTTGATGTGGAATTTCTAGCTTAAAACATTGTGGAAATGTATTCCGGACTTGCTAAAAAGATAGTTCCTTTGTTAATGGGGTCTATGTGTTTAGAAATCAAGTAGGTATCGCAAGGTGGATTTTAGGGTTATGATGATCATATGTTTTGTTTCTTTAAACCTGGGGTTGTGATGATCATATATTTTGTTTCTTTAAACCTTCTACCCCTTTTCTTCATTGTCAAAGCTATTTTTGCTAATTCATTTGTCAAAATAACACCTACTTTGCTACGACTATTGCATGAAGAATAGAATATAGTCACACGATCTAAACATCAATTAATAATAGTCAAATGTAGTATAAAGCAGGAACAAGGTTTGCAAAAGGATGGCCGTCCTCCCCTGTGTTTTTCATGTGACTTTTATACAAAGTTTCTTGTTCCTACCATGGTCTTTAATTCTTATCTAATGGCTATCTAGGCAAACTAGCATAAGACTCTAGGCCAAAGAAAGAGCAGGGCAAAACATGGTCGTCCTCCGTGTGCAATGCACAAGCATATTATGTAAGAATTTGCTTTTAAGTATAATTTTTTTGTGTCTTGGAACTCAAAAGAAAAAAAGTATAAAAAGCTCTTTTATTGGTTTTGTGACTTGGAACCCAAAAGAAATTAGTGCGTCTATATAAAAAGCATAAAAATGGAATGACACTTTAAGAGGCCTGAGGCAAAAGCCTTTTTTCGTTCACCTCCTTCTTCCCTCCCTTACCATCTGCATCTTTTCTTATTTTTCTCACTCATCAAAAATCACCACCAATTCAACTTCCTCCATGCCTCCCTATTTTTGTCCTCTCTGAAAAACACAGACAAGCAACGTTCAACAGCCAACATTCAACGATCAAGGAGGATGACCATTGTTTTGCTCTCCTTGTACGTCTTTTTTTTTTTTTTCAATTTTTTTCACTATCCAAACTTTATCTTTTGTTATTGAGTATTTCTACTTTTTTGTGGTTTTTTGGTTGTAGATACTTTTTGATTCTTGCCTCCAAACCTCTAGACTCACGGGTAAGTATATCAAGGAATTAATATCTTTGTTGTTTTATTTTTTGTATATATCTTATAACCTCTATCCTTTTTAATTCTGGGAAATTATTTTTATTTTTTAATCTTTTCTTTCCTTCAATTTGTGATAGTTCTCGATTAGTTATTGCTTTATTTTTACCTTGTAATTATGAATTTTGGATAGGATGGCCAGTATAGGTTAGTAATGATAAAAATTATGCTTAATTCGTTGTTAATTTGTTAAGGAGAACTAATTTTTTTTTTTTTGAAAAAAATGTTTTAAATAATTAAATATATACTTTCTAGTAGTATAGTTCAGTAGCTGAATATAAATTGCATACGTGTTTTAGTGTGTTAGAAAAGAATGAAGGAGTACTATAATGATGCATCTTAGCAAACTGAAGGAAATAAAAAAGTCAAAATAAAAGCAATAACTAATCAAGATTATTACATGCCTATTAATTCCACTTTCTATATTTTAAATGGTTCTACAAATATATTTTAAAATAGGTTGGAATTATGGAGAGTCGACTGAATAACTGTATCATTGATTTTCTTTAATTTGTTCCAATTTAAATTTGCTAAAAGAATATTGAAATGTAATTGTAAGCACAAATTTTGTTGCCTAAAATAAAAGACAAGAAAATTCGCAAAAATATCAAATTAATTAAATCAAATAATGAGCGGGTTACAATCTCTGAAAGTTCTTGAATCAAAGAAATTAATCCCCTGATTCTTTTCTTCGAATAGTTTCAATTGAAGGGCCGAAAAGACTTGTTCTCCAATCGAAAGGGTGTTTCCTACAATTTTGGCGTAGAAAACAATTGATTTGATGATGGCGTCAAACACTTGGAACTTTAAGTCTTCAACACCGGTAGCAGGAGGATTTGTTTGATTTGAATTGGACTTGGATTTGAGGAAGAAAGCTCTTGAGAAAATTTGACAGAGTTTCTCCGAAAGTTAGGAATTTTTCTTGTGTCTTTGCCTTGAGGAAAGATCTCTATTTATAGCCAAAATATGTAGGCTAGATCTTCAAGAAAACCCTCAGAATCTTCCTGCATTTTGGATCACTTGTTACTCAAGAAATCCATTTAACCTGGGTTTAAATAATGGGCCAACCCAAATACTGCATTGTGAATTAATAAATCAATTAATTCACTTCAACTTAAATGGGCATTACAAATTTAATTTGGTTTAATAGCCCATATAATATTGGCCCAATTTGCAAGTTCAAAACATAATGAACTTCTATAATTTAACTTAATTTAATCAAGATCAATTTAATTTAAATAAATCTTAACTAAATAAATTAAATAAATTTTCTTTGTCTACAAATGCCCCCACTTCAAGACTCAATTGAAACTTGCTTGTCAAGGATTGAAATAGAGACTTGAAGTACTTGATTTTTTTTTTTAATAAAAGGAGGCTGATTTCCCTTGAATCACGTGTGGTTTATACCAAGGTGCAATGCGTAGGATCATTACCCAAGTGATTACAATGAATCTGTTGCTTGCAATTAGTCTCGTGCATTTGGGAACCTTCTATGACCATTGCACCGCCCAAACATTTAATAATCAAAGCATCGCTATGACTTTGTTCGGTGGAATACTTATCATGAAACTTCCACTCTAGAGAGCCGAAACATGGTGCAAAGATTAGGAAATGTCTTCACACTTCGGCACTCAAAATTACATGCGGCAGACTTGCTAAGTCGAATTGATAATTTCCAAATTGCATCTCAAGTTGCTGACCACCAAATCTTGTTCGTGGCACTTGGCAATATAGAATTTGCTAAGTTTTAACACTTCCTAAATCGCAAATGTATTCCCAAAACCAATGTGGTAACTTCTGAATGCCGAATTTCGAAAGCTTCCCTAATTGACTTGCAATTGATTCCAAGAGAATTAGAAACATACCACCTTCAATTATTTCCAAATTGAGCATTGCCGAATTCATTGAGCACTTGCAATGAATTGGTAATTGCCAAAACCAATTCTACCAAGTTGAGCACCTCGGAAATGGAGAGAAACAAAACAAAAACAGAAGTAATGCTCCTCTTCCTAAGATTACTCAAATGTTTAAAGTAACCGGCAATACTTTGAAATAAGGGATGGAAATGTCCAATTGGGTATCACTGCAACAAGTTGACTATTGCCAAAATAAACTACTGGACACTTCCAACTCTCGGAACCGAATTTGTCATGTCACAATGTCCGGTCCTTGCAACTCCCAAATGAACTGTGACTTCCTTTCTTCTATATGAAGAGACACAACCTGTACAACACAACTTGCAAGGTTTTTTTTTTTTTTTTTTCAGCTTGCTTGGAGAATTACAATTTGCGAAGCCTTCTAGCTCGTGCCGTTTTCCAGCTTTCGTCTAGACCGAAATTTTCCAGCTTTCTTGAAGAACTACAAGCCGTCAGCTTCACACCAGGTAATTCACAATCTCATCTGGAAACTTTCTTGCTAAGAAATTCAATTTTCTCACATTTGTCGTTGCTGGAATTTTAATTCTTTCTTGCACTTGTCGCTGCTGAAAATTGGGTTTTGTCAAACTTTAAGAAGTCATGAGGCCACTTTCCATTTGGTTTGCGGTCGATTCCATGACAATTAGATAACCACTTTCAACCATTTCCATTTCTCATGATGTGGCAACTAGTAGTCATCTAAATTGAGTCTTACGAGGAAGGAGTAATTGCTAGAATCAATGCCCAGGCAATTACCTTTGTCTGCCAAGCAATGTTCATTAATTTGGGAATTGCCAACACCAATTAGGCTACACAAGTGCACAAGTTCCGATAGCTTTCAATTCTATTATAGAGCCTTTGAAGTCAATTTGTAACTTCTAAATTAGCCACTGGATTCATATTTCCATGTTGGATGACTTCTAAAACGGCCAAACCTCTTGGTTTCCGAAATCTTCAACTTACTTTAAACCAAGCCCACCGTGATCACCGAATATGAAGTCCTCAAGATCGAATCACCAAGTTATAAATATTCTTGACTTCCACATAGCTCCAAATACCTCGAATTGCAAGCACCAAGACGTTAGCCTTTACCAGGAGCCGGCCCCGCATTACTCAGGTACCACCCATCTTGATTGAATCTTTATAACACGCTTTGTCGAATCAAAACTCACTGGATTAAGTCATGAACCAAACTGAACATTTGCCTTCTAGTGAAACTAGGTGATAGTTTGTTATCTCAAATTGAACGGGCAAACTTTCATGAAATAATCAGCGATTGCTATGCTTGTAGGATTGAAATTTTCAAACTCGGGTTTTATTAGTGTCCCAAAGTTGTTGACATCTGAATGCCCTTTTGAAATTTAATGGGCATAGATTAACAATTGAATTCGGGGCCAAGAAACTTTAAGCATCTGATTACTCTCCCGCATGCAAAGTGCACGTGTTTTCTTTCCATTGCTGTATACCATGGCTTTCTCGATTCACGGCCAGGTCCATACTGTTTCTTTATTCAAATTGCAATTCAAGTAGTTTGCATGCAATTTTGCTGATGGTAATTGGTTAGAGCAACACATGCCCCGCGCCACGTCTTTTTCTTGAATGTCTGTTCTTACGAAGCAAGGCAAGATTTGTCGTTGATGATTTTTCTTCCTCCTCTTTTTTTTTTTTTTTTTTTTTTGACTTCGTGTGATAAGAAGGGAACATCACCGATGACTAAATAATGCCGTACTTGATATTAAAGATAAGCATGGCCCACCATAAGAACTTGTCCCGCCATTGCATGCCACACGTCACTTCTTTTCGTTTTTTTTTCTCTTTTTTTGTTTTTTTCAAACAAAAATTATGGCTGAATTTTTTTTTTGTTTTTTTGCAGCTGACGTTGGCATAGCTTGTTTGAAGTAAATTGACGTTCCAATTGTGTCCACAATTTTAGGACCATAACTCTTGGAGTTCAAAACGCTAAGGTAATTCACATACCTTATGGCTTTTATTTCTTATCAATGCCAATTTTTTTTTTTTTTTTGGTGATATGAGAAGAAGGATCCCCGACACATCTTGTATGGTAGACATTTAATTTGAAGAAGGCGCAACCGCAAACTCCCACGAGAGTCATATTATGGCTTGAGGAGCACATGAAGGAGATGATACAGCCAAAATTTAAAGAAGGTGCAACCGCAAACTCCCACGAGAGCCATATTATGGCTTGAGGAGTACATGAAGGAGATGATACAGCCAAAATTTAAAGAAAGTGCAACCGCAAACTCCCACGAGAGCCGTATTATGGCTGAGGTATTGAAGTGGGTGTAGAGCTGTGTGACCACTCAATTTGAAGAAGGCGCAACCGCAAACTCCCACGAAAACCATATTATGGCTTGAGGAGTACAAAGGAGATGGCGCAACCAAAATTTGAAGAAGGCGCAACCGCAAACTCCCACGAGAGCCATATTATGGCTTGAGGAGTATATAAAGAAGGCGCAAATGTCCACCTCAACAAGAGCTTACTAGCGCCCAGAAATCTCGTTATTTATCCTATGCTAACGACTTAGTACTCCACTTACTATCTTTGATCGCGCGCCATCGTGACCCTTTTTTTTTTTTTTTTTTTTTTATGCAGGTTAGCCTTGACGAAATGGCAATATTCAAGGAAGTAATCACTTCAAACGAAAGGTACCTCCTTATCGCCAATAGTCATGACGACTCTGATGACAAAGGAACGAAATTACTGGTGCATATCCCTATACAAGGATCTTACTCGGGTAAGTGGCCTTCTCACCAGTACCCAGAATTGAAGGACTGGTCACTTGAACATTCTCAAGATGACGGCACGAAAGTCCACTCCTTGAGTTCCCTTATTCACAGTAAGGAGCCAAGGACAACTCCCTTTCAAACCCTTGGCAGGCGGATCATAGACGGAGATGCACACTGGGGTCCTTCCTTGAGACTTAATGGTGCATTCAGTTACATCGAGAGTTTTTGGGAGTAGTTGGAGATATTCTCGGCAGGAGCAAACAAGTGTTTCGTGAAAATTACTTGTTTGATGCCTTATATGCTTCACTTTTCACATATGATAGGAATCCCCATGTACTTAGGGCATTCTGCGAGGCGTGGTGCCGGACACTAATACCTTGCATACATCTGTCGGGGAATTGTCTCTCTCACTTTGGGACTTGCACAAGTTAGGAGGACTTCCAATCATCGGGGGTATCTATGAAGAGGTAATCCATGCGCGGAGGAGCTAACTGGAGTAAATGAAAAGAAATTAAGGCATATTCCAAAATTGTGATATTTGTTCGCAGCCTTACATCATCTTCAACATGGGAATCCAACAAACTGGAGTTTCTGCTGCCCAATGGATTAAGTTCTGGTTTAAAGGCAAAAGCAGGTACTCAAAGCCAAAGCAGAGAAGGATAAAGAGGGCATCTCGTGCTCAAGCGACCCAAAATCCGGATGGCGAAATTGGACAACCACGCAAATTTTCAAGTCAAGACAATGGCGTATTTGACACCATCGGAGTTAAACTTCACTTGCGGGAAGAGACCTATCTTGCAGCATTTATATCTTGTTGGCTCTGTGTCTTTGCTTTACCTGATGAGGACCTCATTATATTAGACCATCTACTTTTAAAATGGCTAGTATGATGGCTGCCGGTCGTAAGACTTGCCTTGCTGTTCCTGTCCTGCTAAACATATACCGTGGGCTTGATAAAATTTCAAACTCAGCTACCCAGGGTGTGCACGCGCGGCTTTTCCGGTGCACTATGTATATGCTTGGTTAGCGAGTTATTTCTCTACCCATTATTCGACTCAAATACCATGCCTGGCCACCATGACCAACTATTCTGGAGAGGGTGGTGCACGATACTTTGATGAAAATAGTGCTCGCGACCTCATTCATCAGGGAGACAAAGCAACTTGGGGAATCACTTCTCTTGTGAAGAACCGCAATGAACTTTTTATTGACAATG